AGGAGAGTTTGCACACAAAGAGGCTTTTGTGACTTCAGCCTATAAGAAGAAGCTGCAAGAAAGAGCTGAGGAGGAGGAGAGAGAAAGAAGAGAGTCAGCTCTCGAGGGTGAGATTGATAGTGAAATAATTGTGCTGAAAAAGAAGTAGGGCCTTGTTCATGATGTACAACATATTCATCTGGTGGTCTCTGTGTGGTTCTTGAAATAATTAAAATTAAAGAGGACCAGATTAGCAGATCCTGAATCAGATCAGCCTTGGTCTGTTACCTTCCTTTGCACGTGTTACACATGGAGCAGAGGAAGCTCCTCTGTTTGTGTGTCAGTACTGTTTGGGTTGGTGCTTTAATTTTTGAGGGAGGGTCAGTTGTTGAAGGAAGACTCGCAAGCCTGGGGTACAGTGATGTTTCCAGTCCTTACCTCAGACATTCTGGTCAGGATCAGGAATAGATGTAAAGCACAGGATGTAGGATCATTAGCTAGATTGGGCTGGAAGGGACCTCTGAAGGTCACCTGTTCCAGCTCCTGCTCCAAGCATGGCCTGCTGTGGGGCCAGATCAGGTCATTCTGTGCTTTTTCCACTTCGGATTTGAAACCTCCAGGATGGAAATTGCAGTTGTGGTGGTGTGTACCAGTTGTGAGTTGTGTGTGATGAGTATTTGTGGCACAGTAAACCCAACCTCCCTTTCTTTCTCTCAGCGTACCTGGATGTGACCAAACAGAGGGATCTCAGTGGATTCTACAGACATCTTTTAAACCAGCGTGTGGGGGAAGAAGAGATGCCTAAATGCAGCTTCCGTGAAGCCAGGTAGGATGTGATTCCAACAGGGTTTCAGGTGTGAAAACCAGCACCTGGCTGTTGGTGATTCTGTATTCACTGGAAGATTAGACAGAGCACTAAAACTCTAGTGGTAAGGTAAACTGGTAATTGCATACAGCTGATTAACTGAATCATTTGGTAAATAACTAATCATCATCAGTGACACAGAAATGAAACAAGCAGGATAGGGACACTGTCTGAAAGGTATCAAGAGGACAGTTATGATTGTAATCCTGCTTGGTATTATTCTAACCTACATTTTCTTTGGTTTACACAATATTTAGCAATCTGTATAAGTTACACATTTGAATCATGAGGAAGACAAGAGATAAAATAGTGAATATAGCAGTAAGTCATAGGAAATGAATATGCTGTGAATTTCCTGTAAAGAATGTGTCTCTTCACTTTGTACTCACTCCACATTTAGTTGCATAAAACTAAAATGAGTGTTGATACTGTGGTAAAAGGATATGAATCAAATATATAGGAAATCCAGTGGGAGTATTTTGCATATGGGAACATTCCAAAGCAAAGTAATGACATGAGACTGAATTATTTAGGTGTTTAAAATGGTAACATTCTGCCCTGTGGATAAATGTGATGAAAGGGATATTTTTTGTGTGTAGCAATTGATAATTTGAGGCAATTAACTCAGGTTAAACCTCGTTTGATAGAGGTTTAAAACATGGATGTCACTAGTTAAGTGTTTGTTATCACAAATAAAATGCAGCTTTCATCAAGACATCTAGATCTGAGATTGTATTGTTAGAAAGTAAATTCTTAGCCCAAGTGGAGAAAGTGATCACTGAAGTTTCTCAGCTGCCTGAAGGAAAGGAGTTCTCCATGAAGTCTTCAGGATGATGTGATTTTGTACTGTATAGAGAGCATTTCAAATTATGTTTTTAAATCTTACAAATTAAGGAAACTTCCTTTATGGGCACATACAATTAATTCAGGGGAAACAAATGGTCTTGTGGATGGTGTTTCCAGCAAGGCTTTCAGATAAACTCAGGTGTATATTTTAATTTTGTTCTTACTCCTGGTGATACAGCAGGATACAGAGAGAAAACAGCTCAATTTTTAGATCTCAGAAGTGTCCCTAAAGTGAGTCCCACCTTTGAGTTGGATTACTAGGTAAATTACCAAACTTTTCAGTGTAGTTTTTAGTTGTTGTTCATAGGCTGTCCATGCCTTCAAGCATTCAGCAGACACAGAGTCTCACTGGTGCTGTGCTGACTCATGAGGGAGCCCCACAGGCTATTCCTGGAGCTGTGTGATTAAATGGAAGAGACGTGGCTTGTGTGAGTGAGCATGGATTTCCTCATCAGCCAGAAGAGAATGACAAAGCATAACCCCCTCCATGGGTCAGCCTTTTGCATGTAAGAATATTTGAGCTGTAAAAAGTTACTAATTTCTGTCTAGCCACAAGTGAGATCTTCAGAAATACTGGATAAAAAACCACGTTCCTCTCTCTGTCCACAAAACACACAACCTGCTTCTTCTCTGGATAATTATTTGCTGGGAACAAGGATGAAACACATAGGAAAACCTTGAACTTGCCAGCAGGCTTACACAGGAACACAAATCAGTGGTTTTTTTTCCTTAGATGGAGGCTGCACATACTTCACCATAGTCAGACTCTTTTAGATAAATTCCTCAGCTCACATTCACCAGTGAGCCAGGTATGGATACTTTGTGCCTGAATCCTGGAACCTGAGCCACAGACAGATTTGCTTTCTTAGACTTTTCGGCAGCATCTTTTGCCTAAGTCCTGACCAGAAGTCAGTTTGTAGAAAAGTCCAAGATTTCAGGCTTTTTAATGTTGTTATTCTTTTCTAATGTCAAAAATGTAGGATAAAGGAAGAAAAACCTGACAGTCAGGATGAACCCAGCGAAAGGAACAAATGCCCGTTGGAAAGTCAGAGAGTGAAGCCCTCTAAGAAAGAAAATAATCCAGATGCTGATTCCGACCTAGGAACTGACAGCAGTGATGATGACAAGAGACACAAGCATAGTAAAGTAAATTTGATAAAGAAGAAAAGAAGGGAGAACTCTGTGAGCAGTGAAGAGGAGGTTAAACATCACAAAAGCCAGAGGCATTCCAGGTCACCAAGCTCATCCAGTGGGGAGGAGGAGCCACGCACCAAAGCCCAAACAAGTCACCAGAGGGGAGAGAGCAGGCCAAGCAGAAGGGGGAGTGATGAACAGTACAGGGAAAAGGATTATGAGAGAACTAGAACCCATGAAAAGGATCACCAGAGGGAAAGGGAAGAGCGGCACAGGCATGGGGATCACACTAGTAGAGATCACTACAGGAGGAGGGAAGATCAAGATGATAAACAAAGGGGGAAGGAAAGAAAAGAGAGGGAGGGGCATAGCAGAGAATGGAGGAGGGCAAAGGAGAGAGAGGAGAAGGGCTCAGAGAAGGAACGAGAGAAAGAAAGAACCAGAAATGATAAAGATAGATATAATGACAGAGAGAAGGAGAGAGGAGAGAAATACAGAGAAAGGGAAGATCATGCAAAGGAAAGGAGAGAGAAATATGGTAGTGAGGAAAAGAAATACAGAGAGAGGAGAGAAGGTACTCCTAAATCTGTGGAAGAAGATGGAGAGAGTGATCTGGGAAAAGAGAGAAAGGGAAAAGACAGAGAGGTGGATGAGAAGGGAAGCTCCAGCTCTGGAATGTCTGAGCAGAAACGTAAAGCTGGAGAAGAAGGGGAGAAAGATGAGAAAGAACAAGCACAGAAAGCACCTGAGACCCTGAGCAAATTTGCCAAAAGGAGCAACGAGGAGACAGTGATGTCAGCACGGGAGCGGTACCTGGCCCGGCAGATGGCCCGGGTCAGCACCAAGCCCTACATTGAGAAGGAGGAGGATTGATGGCCCTGGGCACAACCACCTGGGCTGGCAGCCAGGGGCCACTGCTGTGCAGATCCTTGTACAGAAAAGGTTATCCTACCTATTATTCCTGGCTTTCCTTTGAGAAGTTGTGTGTCCCTTAAGAAAACAACTTTTGGAATGGATCACTGGGTCTCTTGACACACACCCTTTGTCTGTACAGCTGAAATGTTAAAGTGGCTGACTGTCCACCCTGCCCTTAAGTAGCATGTCCTTGGTACATGAAGATTTTGGACAGACCTGGGAGTGTTAAACAGTGTAAGGTGAGAATGCATCCCCCTGCTCCTTTCAGCAGCCAAAACAGTGAGCTCTGCTGAAGCAGAGGTGTTCTCAGCCCCTAGGAGGACTCATTGCTCACTACTGCTCTCAGAAATGGGGAGCAAATTTGTAAAAGTGGGTGAAAAAGCAAGAAAACCAGCCTGAATAATGATCTAGGCTTCTGTTTCTAGAGTGGAGTTTTGTAAGATATATGCATATTGAGGTATAAATTTTGTATTGTGTGGGTTTTGGTCTGGGGACCTGATGTACAGAAACAATAAAGTGTAAGATACATATTGGCTCAAATGTGTGGGTCTTTTTTTTGTGTGTAGGTTATTTTACTGCATCTTTTTTACATGGAATAAGGTAGATGAGCCTGTTTTCATGTATCACAGTTGTATCAACTTGTTAAGTGATATTTTAGATTTGTCATGTGGACCTTCTGTTCAAAGGTTCATTTTCAATAATAAAATTATCTTCCAGCTAGGTAAGTAGGATGTCTGACAGTGGTCGTTGCTTTTAGAATACATTTTCAACACCTTTTTTTTAATTGCTTTCACTTTTTTTTTGTTGCAAGTTTATCACTTTTATGCTAGAGTAAGGTGTACTTCTATATTTAAAAAAAAAAAAAAGATTTTAAGATTGGTGTTTCCCTAATGATTTTTTCAGCAGACTGAGCAATGAAACAAAGCGTGAGCAAAATTAAATGTAAATGATGCCACTTCATAAAGGCTTGGAGTGAGTTTTATATGTCAGCTAATCAAGTAGTTAAGCACAAACTCCAGAGTGGAGCAGTTTGGTTTTGCTGTTCTGTGTAAACAACTGTAATGAGCTTTGGTTCTTCTGTTGGAATGGAATGAAAGTGTTTAGCAGTGGGCCAGGGTTCAAAAAATCAGGGAAATCCTCTGCTTTTTGTCAGAGGCCTTGCTGGCATTGTAAACTGGTCAAGATACTCTGCTCTTACTTAGAATTGAGATTTTTATCTTTGCTCTTCCCAGAAGAGAGAGGCGCAAGAGACGTCTGCAGATGATTTATGAATATTAAATTTATTACAGTAACAGTTTACAGTACAAGGCACATACTGATGACTTACAATCAGCTTGCAACACTTGTAACTAAACAGCTGCATAAATTAATACAGGTGCATCATGTACAAGTTGGAGGGAATACTTAGTTCTGTACAGCTAAAACTCCAGTTTAATTCTCTTTAAAAGGCAAAGATGGTCCTAATTTACCAGTTTCATGACTTCCTTTTCACTGTTCAGAACAGAGGGTAGGATATACTTGTGGTAGATGAGTGGAAGGTGAGCTGAAGGAATTTTTATGCCTCAAAACACTTTGTAACTGCAGTGCAGTTCATTTGGTTTCAATAGAAGTAATTTCTGTACAAAACCAGTGTTTAAGGTATGGCTACTTGCTGAGCTACCTGATAAATATTGGTTGCTTTACATGTTTTCAGATGGGGATGTGTTAAAAAAAAAAAAGAATTGTATAAATAAATCAATTTCTCAATATTTCAACCACTCAGCTAAATAGAATTACTAAAAAATGAACTTACCATAATAAGATACTTGAATTAGTACACCCTGTAACAAAAAAGTAATGAGAACTAAACTGCCTTTCAAGTTCAGCATTTATAGAATGAAAACATGGATGTATTTTATCTTCGTACTATTCAGGAAGAGAAAAGCCTTTTTAATCTACATTGCTTTTTGTATCATTAAATAATTCTAAGAGTTTTCATCCTCTCTCAGTATCTCAGGACTCAGAGCACATTGGTCTCACATTTCAGCTGTTGCAGGGCTTGTGTTTCTATCAGGGTTTCCTGACTGACTTAATTCACTAGAAAATGTGATATTTCTTGGGAAATCTCTCTGAAACTCTCAGAGAGCCAATGTCTATCCTGTGTCAGTGTCTTAAAAATTGCAAGTTTTTTTTTTGTTCGCTGAACTGCTGTCTGAAGAGGAAAGAAACGGGGTAGGGTTTTCTCCTTTATTTCCCACACTTTGTTGTTGGATATGTACAAATACCTCATTCATCTTACAGTGACATTTCATGTGTATTTTTTCAGTTAGTGAACTCAGAAAATTTAACTTTTGGAAGTAGGTTTCAAATACACTTGAGGCTTAAGCTACAAAACTTTCACATGAGTAGCTGTCCAGTAAGATAGATTTATTGTGTTTTTCTAGTGGTAATTAAAGAACATATTCCCTTTTCAAAAATAGTTCAGGAATCTCAGTTCTGAAAGAACAGTCCTTGTCCCTCTTCAGTTATTTCCTCATTGGAAGTTGGGATTGAGACTTAGATGAACTCAAAAGTCATTATCCAAAGTGGAAGTGGAAGAGGCCTTTCTCTAGGTACACAAAGGGGGAAAACTTTGGCAGAGGGGATGGCAATGTTTTCAGAAGGCAAACACAGCATCCCTGCTTTCCTCTCACCTGACAAGTGCTTCATACCCAGTCATTCCAACAGGTTCCTTAATGCCCCCTGCTCTGGCTGCACAGGGAACCTTGGCAACTTTAGCAAAGGGATACAAAAGAGCCTTTTATCCTCTATTTTATTTTACTTTCATCATCATCTGTGTGCCAGAGTAAAAATACAATGCAAGTTTGTACAGGAATGATGCCTTCCTGGGTTTGTCTGCACTCCCACTGCAGCAGAACTCGTGTCCTCCAGGAGCCAGGGCAGCTGCATTTGGGGAGCACCTGTGTGCATGTCATGTAAAGAGCTTAATGTGGACATGGGTGTTAATTTGTGTGTCAACACCTTGAAATTTAATATAAAGTGTTCTGATGAGAATCAGTCCTGCTGAACTCTACTCAGCTTCTTGCTAAGAAAAAAAAAAAAAAATCCTCTCTTTTTCTTCTTCAGCTTGAAAACCTAATGCAGTCACATCAGAGTATGAGCTACTAAACCTTCAAAGTAGGTTTGGGTAGTTGTAAATGTACTTTTGTCAGCCAGCCAAAAGGATTATTCTAAATTTTACTTCTGTACTAGGAAAGAGGAGGGAAAAAACCCCACAGGCTCCAGCAAATTTTAAGTGTGAAATTAACTGTAAAAAAAAAAAAAAGGGAAGTGAAGCAGAGAAAGAGATCTTTAAGACTGCACTTTTTGGCATGAGAACTCAAAAAGATTCATTGTTGGTTTGTAGTTTGTGTAGCTCTGCCAGGACAATGATTGGTTATGGAAACAGTACAGTAAGTGCTGGCAACTTAAGTGCTTGTCAAGTAACTCACGATAAGTTTTTGTGGCTTGATTGGGTCTAAAGGAAAGTGATGCCTCAAACATCACAAAAAATAATTTTTGTGATTTTTTTATGCAAGAAACAGTAGAAATTGTTACCACCTACAAACCAGAGGAAATGAACACGAGGCCGGTGCTACCAGCTGTGTGTGCTGATGTGTGCAGAGCTGTGCTGCTCAGCTTTTTTCCTCTCTGTCTACTCCACCACAAACCTAGGGAACGTCCTATTTTTGTTTTCCTAGTTTATAAACCCCTGCGTTACTCGAGTAATGTATGGCTATCAGAAATATTTGTGCATTTTCCCATGTAGTTGAAGCAAGTAGAGAACCTTAGAAGCGAATACGACATTGCCCGGTACGAACGATCACACGGAGGGAGGAGACACAGGAGCACTGCCACACACTGGGGGTCTACACCTAATCCTGCCGTGCCTTGCTCGTCCTGGAGGGGCTGCTGCAGGCACTCGGTGCCACTCCCGGAGCAGGGATGTTCCCTGGTGTTCCACAGTGAGTGCTCAGTCCAGCCTGCTTGGAAGTGCACAGTAGATGTCATTGAATTGCTTGGATAAACGTGCTGGAGGCATCACCTTTCCCAATGGTGCCAGTGGTGTGCAGCCTCCGTGGAAAACTGTTTGTTGTCTCAGCTGGAAAGGAGGTTCTTTGGGGGGAGAGGGGGGAAAAGTGACATTTTGTGCTCCTCTTCCCTCCCCAGAACCAGGTCAGCTTATACTGCGTTCATGCGGATGTCTCCAAAGGGAATTTCTGTCGCTGTTTCTGGAGTAATGCTTTTCAGAATACGCTGTTGGAAAGACATCAGAAATTGATTTTAGAGGCAATGTCAGCCATTTAGAAAGAGATTAATAATAAAGTATGACTTTGAGTTACACTTCTTGAGCTACTTAAGAGTGTTTCAGGCCTCTGTTAGCACTATGAAGATGGAAAGTGCTGTAGAAGTACACAGCAGTATTTTTAAAATTATTTGTAACCTTATTGGAATCAAAGCTCTGCAGATGTCATATTAATGCTTTAGGACTTTGCAGTTTACTGGGATACCCTGGGCCAACTAAATATATTCTTTATGATCTGGTATTTATTTAAACTTAGAAGAAATCTCAGTATTGTCATTACAGATTTATGGCAGAGAAATCTTAATGTGTGAGAGAAAAACAAGCTTTTCTTACAGATACACGCCACAAAACCAGCCTTTCACTGCCTTATTTGCTTGACTGGGGAATTTTGAGTGTCTGAAGTGAATTTTAGGAAGACTCTCCAGTTCATCAGAGCTTAAAAAATTACTTGATATAACATTTCATAAAAAATTGTCAGCAGTCTCAGTAAGAACTGGGGAGATTTGTGAGAATTTGGGAACAGAACAGCTAGTAATGATATTTTTAGGAATCACCTCCTTCCTAACAGTCAAACAGAAGCAAGAGAGCATCAGGGATACCTCCTTAAGTGTCCCTGGGGTGATGACCAAGCGATAGACCATGTAGATGGGAATGAAGATGATGGAGGAGGTTCCTATGCAGTAACCCACAACTGTGGTCCAGTAGGGATAATCATAATCAAAAAGCCTCAGCTCAGGAGGGCTGGACAGAAAGCTGCAAGTGACGAACTGAAAGAGAAAAAGGGCAAAGTGTGAATATGTGGATTTTCATGGCACACACTTTGGGAAACTCTGTGTTCCAGCATAGCACTGAAATAAATAGGAAATGAGTAGGACTCAAGATTAAAATATGTTGACACTGAAAAAAAAAATCCTAAATTATACGAGTGTAGATTTAAAACAAATCAACAAATCATGAAACAAAGACCAAGAGGATCCTTCCCAAAGCAGATGCTCTCCACTCTACACTGCTCTCTGTCAGAATAGGAATAGGAAAAAAAGTCAGCTCAGTTACTGCTGTTGGATCATTTTCCTGAGCATATCATTCATGACTGAAACATTCCTTAGGAAACAACAAATACTTTCAGTTGAATATTACAGGAATATTATTTGTGACTGTCCCAGGAAGGATCTCTGACTGGTTTTTTTCCAGAGTATCATCAGAAGCTCAGGATTTACCAGCAAAACTTCCGTACAGAAATGACATCCTACATCCTGAGCTTTCCTTATTTTAGGTGGGTTTCCACAGGGAATACAAACAGCTCTGCCTGGTAACCACATCCCCAGAGCTCTGTGCCTCTCTGTTTTGCTGGTTTAGGAGTACAAAGAGGACAGAAGTATAAAAATTACTGTGGTGTGACATTTGAATTGATAGATTTCTCTTTCTAGGGGTAATAAAATCAAAGTCTGTTAATTATGCCTTGATCATTACAAGTGTTTTGAATTCACTCTGTAGGTCTTAAATCTACATTTTGTGCTTCATAAACTCTATCTTGACCTGCTCTGCTCCCACTAAAGCCAGTAAGAATAAAAGATAGCATGGACTAATTTTAAATCAGGAAATGAGCACTTTATGCTCAGATGTTATTAATAACACTGCCAAGCCAAACACTGGGACAATATTTCCAATTCTGAATTATAGATTTATAATGGTTGTAATTAACTGCTGGAAATTTAAAGTGGAATATTCTAAAGTTGTCCATCAGCAGTTGCTGAGACAGTGTATTTACTTATCTTGGTTCTCCTCCTCTGACAGTATGTTTCATCAGCTTTTATTTCTACATTTTGCTGAGGTAAACATAAGGCAACAAAACAAAATAAATTTGTTTAGCAGAGGGCAGAGGGGTAGTTATTCAGAATCCAGACTTATTCAGCTAATTCAACTACAAAAATCCTTAGAACTGATTTGGTAACAAGACCTTGTAGCATTGTATCGTGTTTTTTACTAATTGAGCCTTTTTTGTTTAACAAAAATTGTTACTAAAGAACTTCTCGGGAGAATTCTGGAATTAAGCTTTTAGAAGGAGCTGCATTGCTCAGTGGTGATTTTCTTGGTGCTGGAAAAAAAAAGCTCTAAAGAAAACTCACCAGAAGGAAAAGGGGACTAATTGCAACCCAGCAAACTCGCCAGTACCAGCCTGGGGCAGAGCCCAGCATTTCTTTCACATCGTTGCAAAACTGGGTGATGCCTGTGGAGACAAGGGGAGGAGAGGGGTGACAGCAGGTCTAAGATTTTCTTAAGTAGATGCTCAACACTTTTTTATGCCCAGCAAGTAAATTCAGAATCTATCCCAGAAGACCATTTTGTTCCTATAACTCTTAATTTTACTAAACCCTTAATTACTCTGAATTATACCTCCTGTTACTTTTAGCTGTCTGTGTACTTCTGTCAGAGAGCTACTAACACTAATTCTCACTGCTTTAGTTATCAATGAGTCTGTAAAAAGCTTTTGTAAACTTTTTTCTGGAGACATGGGTGATCTTGTCTGCAGAAAATGAGGCAATGCTGAGCTGCAGGAGCTCAGGAGTTTGGGTTGGGGTGTTTGGAGGTACCATAGAACCAGGACACAGCCACTGCCTCCAGGAACACGACGGTCAGGACAGCTGGGCCCGTGGCATATTCCTCAAACAGCTTCACCACGTATGCTCCTCCCTGGAAAAAGAGATCAGGCTGTCAGTGTGCCCACGATGCTGCCCTGCTGCTGGTTGGTGCTGCGGCCCGTGGCATATTCCTCAAACAGCTTCACCACGTATGCTCCTCCCTGGAAAAAGAGATCAAGCTGTCAGTGTGCCCGGGATGCTTTGGCTGGAGCAGAGCGTTCACAAGTGGGGAATTCACCCAGTTCTGTCACTTTGTGGCTCTTTCTGCCAGGGAGACCCTGGGGAGCTGCTCACCCTCTGTGGACGCCCCTCACCCCAGGAGCTGCCATGCAGAGAAGCTAAAATCTGCTGGCTGGATTTTAGTGAACAAAGGGAATGGCTTTTTGCATGCCCTCTTCTTTCTCCACCAAGAATCATAGCTACTGAACAGCACATAAATAAAGTGTTACTTTGCTTTCTTTCCATTTGGGATCTAGAACCACGAAGGAGGAGACCTCTTGCAGAGGAACTCAGCATCCTTGTGCAGCAAACACTTCACATAAGAAGGAAGTTACACATAAATGAGCAAGTGGAGCAAAACATGACAGGAAAGCCAAGTATTTCTTTCTATTTCCCCTGTGATTCTTACACTCATTATTCAAAAATTGCTTGTTGTGGGAATGAAATCCACAAGTCCCATGGGAACAATTTGATGTGACTAATGATGATTTCTGCCTTGAAACAGTGAGGAAGATACAGGAAATCCATTACTAGATTTTTTTTTTTTTTTTACATCCAAAATACATTTTACACATTGTGAAGATTATAATAACTATTCATATTATTTTTAAACACAGAGCTTTTGGGAATAAGAAATAAACCACATAAAAATGTGGCTGATTGTCTGCTGACTGATGAGCAGCACCATTTATGATGCATAGCACATCATGAGTTGCAGTAGGATCATTTTACAACATATTTCCTAGTGAAATATCATTCACACTTATTCCAAGTAATAGATTTCTAATGCATAGAGAAAACAGCCTGGAGGTTCAATCTGATTTCTTAAAACTGTCTTCAAAAAATTACCCTCTCCAAGGTGTCGTTGGCAGGAAAGTGCCAGTGAGGGAGGCTGAGGGTGGGTGAGGTACTCACAAATGTCAGGGTTGCCAGTGACCCCAAAAAGCAAATGATGGTCAGACCAAGGACAAACAATTCCCTGCGTTTGCCCCAGACGTGTGGGAATTCATCCAGGACTCCAGTAATCACTCCCTCTAGTCCTGCAAACTGAACAGCATGGAAAAATCACTGGAAAATAGAGGGCAGTGTTACCTGCTTAAAAGTAAGTTTGGGTGCTTAAAGGAGCATTGAAACACTGGTGCTTTGTTCTGCTGTAGAGTTGGTGAGAGGTTTTTAGACAAGCTTTTCCTCCTAACTTTTGAAAACTGTTCACGGTGGGGATTTAGTGTTCAGGTGTCTGTGGGAATGCATTTTCATCCAAAAGCAGTCCTGTGCTACAGGCAGCAGATGTGGAGAAATGAGGTGGTTCAGTAGGACCAAGACTGTGAAATCAGCTGAGTTCAGCCCTGCTGGAAGGAGCTGGTTCTCTACCTGTAAAACCAGACTCACATGACAATTTTTTAGTGTATCTCCAGTTCTCTCACCTTTTAAATCCAAATTGTGTGAAAAAAAATCCAGGTTTTCATAATTGCTTGTAAGCTTACAAGCAAGAAAGGAGCCTGGAAGGCTGCAATCAGCTAGGAGTGTATGAATCAATTTGCTTGTATTTCAGTGTCTTGTTAATTGTCACAGCATGACAGTGACAAATAATTGATTGTATTCAAACCTGTTCAGATGAAAACTGGAGTACCAGTTGCTGTCTTACAGAAGGCAGCTGGCACTGCCAGTCCTGCTGCAAACCCCTCAGTGCCAGGGCAGTGTTTGCAATTCTGTTTCTGTGGTGCCTGACGGGGCCAGGCTGTGTCCCCTGCTGGCGACTCACCGTGCTGTCCAAGCCCAGCGTGAGCAGCATCAGGAAGAAGATGATGGCAAAGAAGGTGGAAGCTGGCATGTTTGCAATGGCCTCTGCATAGGTGATGAAGAGCAGGCTGGGTCCTGGAGCAGAGTTGGGATCACTGTTAGTGCATGCTGTGCACGGTGTCTCCCAGGGGAAAACTTCTCCCCCCAGGCTGCTTTGCCATGTGCAGTTACCACCACGTCTGTGAAACTGCAGTCTGGCTTTTATATGTGGTATTTATAGGCTGATTTTTTTAGCTGTACTGTGTAACAGTGCCCAATAAAGTCAGCGTGCCTGACGGGGCCAGGCTGTGTCCCCTGCTGGCGACTCACCGTGCTGTCCAAGCCCAGCGTGAGCAGCATCAGGAAGAAGATGATGGCAAAGAAGGTGGAAGCTGGCATGTTTGCAATGGCCTCTGCATAGGTGATGAAGAGCAGGCTGGGTCCTGGAGCAGAGTTGGGATCACTGTTAGGACAGGCTGTGCACGGTGTCTCCCAGGGGAAAACTTCTCCCCCCGGGCTGCTTTGCCATGTGCAGTTACCACCACGTCTGTGAAACTGCAGTCTGGCTTTTATATGTGGTATTTATAGGCTGATTTTTTTAGCTGTACTGTGTAACAGTGCCCAATAAAGTCAGCATCCTGAATAATATACTAAATATTTCTCATCACTTGGGCTGCTCTCAATCTAGAAGTACATATACAAATACATTCTATCTAAGAAGCAGTTTGAGATGTGTATGAAACATGAACTTACCAGTGTCTTTGGCAACCTCTGAGACATCTTCATTCCTCATCTCAGCCATGTACCCCAGCACGGTGAAGATGACAAACCCAGACACAAAGCTGGTCAAGCAGTTCACGGTGCTGGTGACCAGAGCATCTCTGCAACAGAAGACCTAACTCTCATCAGGGACCTAACTCTCATCTGCACCTGCTAGAAAGGGTTTACAACTCTTGGTTTACAATCTGGACAGACTCCTGGAAAAACTAAGGGAATACAAGTTAAAAACAAGCAGCAGATTTGAAAGAAAGAGGGGAAAACCCAACCCATTATTGCTTTTTCTTCTCAAATCCATACAGGTGCTGTGGCATCAGTCTGCCACTGGATTGAATGTTGGCTGTATCCTGCTGTTTTAAAAGACCAGGAATTACTACGTGAATATTAAAGAATTGAGGATTTTGTTTTAGAAGTTAGAAATAGATTTTTTTTTCAGGTAACAAGGAAAAAACATAAATTGCCTTTCTGCTCAAGACTATGAAGTAATTTTTTAACTGACTACTGAGATTAAATAACTACAATGTAATGGCTTGACAGGGTTTAGTCCATTTTGTTGTTGCAGGTTTCTACATTTTAGACCTATTGCTGTAAAATTAGTAAAAATTATCTTACTTCAAGGTAGGCAACAGAGGAGAAATGCTTGAGATTGCAGGTTCTCTGTTACACTTACTTCTGATTTCTATGTACACAGGTCTGACAATTTAGTGCCTTTCACCAACACCCTGTTTCTTTTTCATAAATACCCACGTTATATTTTTATATATTATATTTATTTTTATATATATTTTTTATACTAGATTTTACTTGTAGAATAAGGTAGAACTCACTGGTAGCAGTTGTTGTGGAATTTATTGTAGCTGGAATAAGCCAACAGGACCCCAAAACCTGGTCCCAGGGAGAAAAAAATCTGAGCTGCTGCATCCACCCAAACCTGAAAAATATTGAAGGCCGAGAAAAAAAATGCCATGAAACAGATTGAATGAGTTTGGCATATTCAGAATATCACTTAGGTCTGCAAAAGGGTGTTTCACTGGTCTGCCTGTGTCCTAATCCTGGTCTAACATATATTCTGTTGAGAGAGATGTTAAAATATGAATGTTTGTTGTAGAACTGTTGTGGCTGTTGCACTTTTGCCATCATCTTAGATTAATTCAGTGAATTACCTGTAATCAATTTAATACAAGTTTTGCAGTGTATAGAGAACTTTATACCCATGATTTTGAAGTCTTCCAAATCTTCCACCAAACTCTGTGTGCTGTGGAATAGCCCTGTGCTTGGCAATGTATCCTCCAGGCTGTGTAGACTTTTCCTAGATTTATGGAAATCCATTTGACTGTGTGGATGCAGTTCTGGTTCTTGGGGCTCAATTCAGCTTTGTTGTAGCTGTGACAGATGCAAGTGTGATGATCTTGTTATGAAAAGCTTGTTGTACTTGAAAAGTGGCCACAGCCCTAATGAGTAATGTTCTAAAGTACAATATCAGCTCTCTTTCTGAAGGTGAAAGTCCTCATTCATTTATTCTCTTTTGATTGAAACATGGAGTTCATTACAACTCATTTCTAATATTCTCTCCCATCGTGTGAGGCCATCCTGTATCACCCAGACAGAGCTCTGTCATCACCCAGCTCACAGATTGCAATCTGCTCTCCTCACTCCAGATACATCCAATACAATATCAATGCCCTTTATTGCTTTTTCAGAAGATGTGGTTCCTTATTGGAGATGCTGCTTTATCAGAGACTGGTGTCTTTTCATTTCCTCTTCATTCAAAACTCTCCATATCAGCTGGGCAGCAGCAGACTTGCAAACATTGGAAATTTTTAATCTTCATGTTTGTAGTATTTATTGCTTTGGGGTTTTTCCATCACCCTCCTCACCAGACACTTTCACAGGCAGTGGAGTGAGCACAGCCTTGAGCCTGATGGATTGCTTGTCATCCAGAGAGTTCAAGGCTGGATCAGACACTGGAGAGCCTGGGGTTTGTTGGTTAGCTCAGTTTGTCCTCATCCCTGCTTCCCTCTCAAATTTTGGTGGTGTATGCAGGCCTGACTGATTTATTCCTCCTCCACAGGCACTTACATGAGTTACTGGGCCAGGGTTTAGTTGATGTCTGTGGGCTCATCTGCCAAAGCTTGTTACAGGCTGGAGACAGGAGTTTCTGCTCCAGTAACCTGCACTATTTACACAGGGGCAGCTGTGGACACTGTAGGGCTGTACTCGTCCCCTTAAACCAAAAATCTGCAAGTCCACCACTTGTTAGGGTTTAATAAATTCACTTTTCTCGGTGTGACTCTCACAGGGGAAGGATTTTGTTGCTGTGTAGGAGCACTCACAGCTTCTCACTCAGTGTCAGCCTGGTCACCACTGTCCCAGTGAAAAAGGATTTGGTCACTTGTTTTCTTCTAATCAGATCACTCATTCTGTTCAACCACTGTATGGGAGCTCTGCCTGTAGTTCAAGCTAAATTGAGGGTGGACTCTAAAATTATTTATAATTATGAAAGTAACATGGACTCAGACTTTTAAGTCCGTGCTAAGACATTTGTTCAGTCATGCTCTATGCATCTATGGTGATACACATATGGACAGACTGAAAGCAAATCTCCCTTTTATAAAGTTCTTTACCTCAGTGGCCAGGAGTTTCTGCCAGTCAGGTTTCAAATAGTAGAGGACACCCCTCCAAGCCCCAGGCAAAGTTGCACCTCTCACGAGCAGGATGAAGAGGATGATGTAAGGGAACGTGGCAGTCACCCAAACCACCTGTGAGGGAACATGGTGAGAGCGTTTGCCATGGGGGGAAAGTTAGCAGGGATAATAATTAATTAATCATGTTATATGTCTTAGCATTTATAGCATCTTCACATGAGCCTCTCTGCAGGTCTGTGAACAGGCAGTTTGCACATCTGAGCCCTTTCCCTGGCAAGCTTGGTTCTGCCCAGAGAACAGTGGTGTCATTTATTTTTGTTCTCTATTGCTTGGATAAGATTAGCAGTCACCGTACAGCGAGTGCTCCCCAAATACACCAGCCCATAATCCCTGTCGTGAAAACAACCTGAGCTGATCCCCTGGCAGTCAATTGGCTCAGGTAGAACTGCCTCAAGACAAGCTGATGTGTCTTGCTTTTGCATTCACCTTGCCAGATGTTTTGACCCCTTTCCAGATGCTGAAGTACACAATGGTGAAGATCAGCAGCAAGCAGAGGGTCAGCTGCCAGCTAATGCCCCCCAGGTCATCCAGCCCATTGGACCTGTGCACCTGCAGCACCTGGCGGCTGCAAGAGGAAAGAAAAACACAGCAGAGATACTTTTTAAACAAATGCTTACATTAAATGTGCATTTAACAGTCCCACTCTGTGGTCTGAGCATTATAAGGGATCCTGAGATCTTGATAAGCAGCCTTCAAAGTCACGACATTTGGGATTCATTTTATTTTACTTAAAAGTTTGATATTAACAGCACACCAGTGATGATAAGTGACAGCAGACAGCAACTGGGAAAATCCTAAAACACAGAGCATCCCCCATGCACCCTAAGGTTACACCCCCCTACAAAAATCTAGGGATTTGAAGGGGATGCCATCAACAGTCAGCCCTGCTGCCCTCTGAGGAAAACCTCGCTGGTGTTCCAGCAGTCTGGCTACCACCACCATCCTCACTTACATGCACTTACGTATAAAATTCTTCTGCAGGAGAGATGGAGTGCAGGGACCAGCTGACATTGTCCTTGCTGAAGTAGTTGGTGCAGTTTCCTGTGTTCCAGGGGTTTGTGCAGCTGGTCCAGGGCAGCTCCGCCGTGAAGGAGGAGATGAGGTAGTAAAAAGCCCAAGCCATGATGGTGTTGTAGTAGGAGGCTACGTAAAGATCTATGATACAGATGGCAAAGCCAATTCCTGGAGGGGCAGGAGATAATTGCACTCAGTCAGTGTAAGTTTTAGGCAAAAAAAAAAAAAATTGGTTTTCACATCAACAACCATTTGTCTAAGGCAGCTCTGCAGGAGGAACACACATCCTCCCAAGTTTTTACAACACTGGCATTTCTTGTGACTTCAGAAACACTCTGATTCCAGCAAAGCATCCTTAATCAAGACAGAACATTTTTATAAAGAGATATTTTCTATGTGTTCCTAAATTTCTGCAATTTAGAAATAGGCATCTTGCAGTCTCAGTAAATAGAAAAAGATCAGAGCTACAGCACTGGGAACAAGAGTAAAAGAGGATTTTGAACAGTTCCTTTTATTCTTTAGAATTTTAGGCTTGGTCAGCCTCACTCTAATCAATTTGAGTTGCATACTGTACAAGTATGCAAGAGTACACACACATGTACAGGTGTACCAGGAGTTTTAGGAAAGCTTTCTTTGTAAAGCCAAAATCTTGTGTAGGACAAGTCTTACTTGGCTTTATGAGATTTTCTTTTTGCCCCCTGAAATGCCACCTTTATAGGAAGATTTTCCAGTTATTCAGAAAGTTCTGTTTCCCTTTGTTACCTTTGAATATAGGACATATTTTCCTCCAAATGGAAATACAGCCATTCCTGTGGTACTGTCCTAGTGCTAATTCCATATAGAAGAGAGGAATCCCTCCAAAGAGAGCCATGATTGTGTAAGGAATGAGGAATGCCCCTGCAAGAGAGAAAGCAGATGATTGTAACTCTTCACAGACTTCTCTTCCAACACTACCAGCACTCCATAAACAGGAGTTCCTTTTATCCCACAGGAAAATGCATATCCCCTCCCTAGCCAGCACACCTCTGAATTACTGTGGGATTCCTCATAAGAGTTCACACTCAGCAGTGTGAACAAGAAGCAAACTTCTCACATTTCTGCAACACAGGATTCACCAAGACTCCACTGACTCTCACAGCTGTGAGATGGGCTACAGATAAAATTATTAATTTCTCCAATAAAATGCCTTTGTTACATCAGAGAGACGAAAGTCCTTTCTAAGATCTCCTTGATTAGATTTTAGATTTGTATTTTGTCTCTTATGTCAGTGAGTCAGAAACCCAGCCTTCCTCATGGGTTGGTTTAAGCATGTTGGTTTATCAGATTTTAAAATGCTCCTTGGGAAAGGGATTGAGGTGTTGGAGTGTGGGTCTGCACCTATGTGGTTCTCAGCTTCTAGTTGTGCTGTGCTAAACAGCTGTTCTGTGATTATCCTATCTCAATATTTAGGTTCTTCAGTGAATAATTTCTCCTTGATCATTTGTTACACATGATATTTTAAAAGCCACTAAACCATCCATTTATCAACCAAGAAATTCAGCACTAAGGAGCAATGAGCATGAGTGGGCACTGACCTCCTCCATTCTGATAGCAGATGTAAGGAAACCTCCACACATTTCCCAGATCCACTGCGTATCCAATGACAGAGAGGAGAAAGTCAATTTTTTTGCTCCAGGTCTCCCTGTCCTCCAGCTCCATCAGCTGCTGCTGAGCCTCGGCCCCGCAGGTGGTGGACGTGGTGGTGGTGGTGGCTGCTGGGGCCGTGCCCTGGGCATCCTCCCCCTCTGCATGGCAGGGAGCTGAGCTTTGAACCCCCGAAAAACCATTGGAGATCTGAGCTGCCTCCCCTTTGTCCCCCTGGCTCGGCTGGACTTTGTTGCCGTCCTCCACCAGCCGCAGGGCAGGTTTAGGGTTCCTGACCAGAAGTCCGTTCTCTTTGCAGTCTTCTCCTTTGCTGCAGTCTGAGGCATCTTTCTTGGAAGTCAGGGGCTCTGTCTCATTGCTCGTGGCCTTTTTTTCCATTTTTGCTGAGATTGGTTCTGGTCACTTGCAGACAGGCAGCACCACAGGGTCCCTTCGGGGTTTGTCTTCCCACACCTTTATTCCCAGCACTTTTAGAATTCCTCTTCCATACTTAAATCCATCAGATTGAAGGCACAAGCACCATCTAAGAAATGAAAAAAAGTTGAAAATCCATGACAAGCTTTACTGGTGCTGGTAATTTTCAAGGTACAGCCAGCAGATTCTGTGATTAAAATACAGAGGTAATTAACCATCACAGCATGCAGTGTGAATCACAGAGCAGATAATCTGGGATTTTGTCCAGAGAAAGGCAAGAAGAAATCATCTCTTTGACAGCAGAACCTGGTGTACCTGGATCACACCCTCTCAGGAGGATCTGCTGGACTTTGTGCATTGCTGGACACCTCACACCCAGTCACAGTCCTGCTGTCTTCTGGTATCACCTTCTCCTCTGAACACTGCTGGGCTCCCAGTTTGCAAACTGAGGGCAGAGCTTAGTGGGACTTTTATTTTCATTTTCACAAGTTCATCCTGCAACTCATCCACTCATCTTGTGGCAATTTCTAGATTCACCCGGTATGAAGGGAAAAGAGTTCATGAAACAAATATGAGATAACCACGATATAAAAATTACATTTCATGACCACCTTTCTTCAGAAATCCCACAGTGTCTGCTCTGTTTAGCAGCAGATGTGGAAGGCTTAAATGAAACTTTAGAAAATATTTAAATATCAGTGGTTTTGCATCAACTAACTTTTGAGGCTCAGTGAACACCAATAACAAGAAGAGGTCAGAAACTTCAATTTGATTCTTCTCATTAAGAACTAACATGAGTCTAAAGGACAAAACTTGTCCCTGGTTTTATCTGACTCCCTGGGCAAATAAAGCATCTTTCCTTCAGTTTGGGTCTGCTGACACGGTGGTGCCAGCCCTGGGAAGGGTGGTGGGCACTGCTCCTGGCCACTGCCAGCAAAAAAAAAACCAGGCATTGGGAGGATCCCTGGCTTCTCTGCCCTCTTCTGATGTGCTAAAAACAGAATCCAAGGGAAATAAACCATCCTGAAATAAAGTCACACAATCAACTTTTCCTGCAGAACAAAGATAACAGAGGAGTTGTGATGCTGTGAGCAGGTCAAGTTTTGTTTTCTGCTGATTTGTTCAGGTAAACACCCAGCTGCCTTTACCCAAGAAAACCTTGGAACAGGAGCTGATCCCCTGTGCTGTAAATTCCCCAGGGCAGTAACCCTGCTTTATTGCCAGCAAAGAGTCACACAATCTACACCATGCCAAGATTAAATTATTACAATTACATCTAATTTTTCCCTTTCAAAACATTTTATCGTGGTAGTAAATGTCATTGTCACATCCTAGCAGAAAAAATAAGCATTATTTCACTTATAACTGCAGGAAAAAACTAAAACAGAGAAGGGATATGATTTGCTTATTTCTAGAATTTGCTGATTATCAGAGCTATTAAAACTCAAGTTTTTCCCAGCTTTCCACCTTTTGCAAAGACAGCTTGTTGAACCTTTTATAAACATTTCTCAGTGCAAGCAGAAAGAGAAGGAAAGTCATTGAGCTGCAGAGCAAACAGGAGGATGGTTTTGAGGTAAAATTCACTTGAAAATATTTCTTACAGCTTTCAGAAATTTTTAGTTCTTCAGGCTTACATTCTGTCTCTACCCAAACAGTCTCTTTTTTGTCATACAGCAAGCAGTGCATCATTAATGTGAATTCTTACAAGAGCAAGTGCTTTGCTGCCATTAATTAAAACCATCCACAAAGACTGAAACATCTTCAGATTCAGAGAAAAACACCAGGGCAAAGGACAGGACATTCTCTTTTACCTGCAGGACTATAAAACCTGAATGTCTTTGGAGTCCATAACCTTCTAAATGTCCCAAAAGAGGTTCTGGAGATGGAAACAGCCCTGGTGGCCACACAGAAATCCAGGGGAAGGCCACAGCCAATCCTCCCCTTGTACAGAGCATGGCAAATACCAGGTGGGAATATGGAAAAGTAACCTGAGCCCTTCTGGACTTTACACCTCTCACCCATAAATGGGAGCACAGTAAAGGATGTTGATTCAACTGCATTATCTCATGGGGCTGATTTTTCCATACCTGAGGCTTAAACTCTCAGTGTGTTTGTAAAACTCTTTATTTCTGCACATTTTTAGTGCTTTCTTTACTAAGGGGAGGTCAAGGAGTGTATTGTTGATATTCAGGATTTGTGACACCCAGGATTGTTTTCTGTCCAGACCTAAACTCCTTCTCCTGTTCTTCTGCACACCACAGGAAAAAAAAAAATTATTATTTGAAATACTTTGGTTGAATTTTCAGTAGTTTGAGCCTCAAATATGCAAAATTAGATGTGAATTTTCAGGGGCTCCAGCTGAGATCAGAACTATTTCTTTCTGAAAAAGGAATTACAGTTTGTCAACTAGGAAATCTCTGGAGTGATGAAGTCCGTGGCTACACAGTGGAGTTCACAGGGGCATAGTTGGCACATGAAGCAGAACAGTTTCAGATTATTTCATTACAACATAAAAAATTGTGGGAGAATGGATATTTTTGTTTGCTTTGCTACAAATCAAGAAAAAAAAAATGAAGGCACTGTGAGCACTACAAAGAGTGTAAAGAGCTTCAGAGAGAGCTCTTGGGGTGGGAAATGTGCTCGGACACCAGGGAAGATACCCAGGAGAAAATGAGCCCAAAAGTGAAGGATTTTGCCCACCTCAGCCTCCACTTCTGCTCTGCACAGATCCCCAGTCTGGTGAACGATGACAGCAGTGATCTCAGAAATATCATTTATTACCTGTTTTCAATCTGAGCTGTCCCAAAGGTTGCTGTTACATAACTGCACCGTGGCTCCTTATCAGCCCTAATTAGCAGCAGGAGAAAAAGGAGATAAAAAGGGGAAGAAGACAGAGCTGTGTGCTTTCCTTCCCCTTTGATCTGTGCTTGGCAGACGTGACTTTGTTCCTCTGGGAAGCCTGGTGCCCCGAGCTGGGGTTGTTCTGCAGGGCAGCTCCCTCCAGGAGCCAGCCCTGGGAATGTCCCCCTCCCTTGGCAAAGAGTGACTAAGGAGGAGTGACCCCGGAGTCCTCCACGGCTCTCCCAGCTTTGTTGAAAACATTTGGGTGGATAACTGAAGGCTTGTGTTTGCACACGTGGTGCTGCAGCCACCAACGCACTTCACATCAGTCAAACATTAATTAAATTATATTTATTTATCTCCCACACGGAGACGAACTTGAACCGACACTGCAGAAGTAAAATCCCTGCATATTCCTTGATGCACACATCCGGCTCCTGTGCCTGTACCAGAGCAATCCTCCAGGAGCATCCCTGGCCTGGAGCCCGGTTCCTGCTGCTCAGGCGCTGGAGCATCTCCCGTTTATTCTGGAGGCTCGCAGTGACCTCTCCTGGCAGTGCGGGAATCCCTCGCCTTTCAGAGTAAACAACTCTTCCCAGCACCACAACAACGGGATTTTCCTGCTCTCGGCGCTTTTTAGAGGAGGATTTGGCTTTTCGTGTGTCAGGGGGAGCGAAGCGATGGGGCTGAGGTGCAGCAAGGAGCAGATGCTGCCAGGGAGGCGAATCCGGGGTCCCGGGAGCTGCCGGGTTTGAGCTGGGGCTGCAGAGCCTCCCCAGCCCTCACCCACCCCCTGTGCCCCCCATTCCAGCCCTCACGGCTGCAAAATGTGTAGGTTTGTATGAATATCGCTTCACACAAACGATGTTCCCTTTTCACCTGCTGGTTCCATGGACGTGGGGAAGCAGCGCTCGCTGGGCTGCACAAAACTCAGCCCCAGCTTCCCTCCTCTGCTCTCCATCCTCCTGCCTCCAGCCCTTCCCAAGCAGGGAGCTGAATCCCTTTGGAACTCGAGAAGAGCCAGCCCAGGGTGTTGGCAAACAGAATCAAAGGCCGGGATGGTTCCTGTTAACTTGACCTAAATCTCACATTTATCGCAGAGAATTGGAGCTGGTTGAAGTTCCAGCTCCTGACTCACACGACACCTTGCAGCTCACCCAGGCAGTTGTGCAGAAATGGAAACAGTCCAAGGACGTTACTTTCATCTCAAATATCAAGCAAGAAGTTTGTGTGAGAAGATAGAATCACTCACCCCAGGCAGGAGAGGGCTGTGCTGTTTGCCTGGACCTGTTCTCACCTCTCAGCCACAAATGAGCCAGAGAGGTTTCATGATTTTCCTCTGAGTTTGCAGAGGTCAGGAGCAACCCTTAAATCAAAGTATCGTGGAATATATTTCCCCATACTGTGAGGGCTTGTTAAAAAATTTAAAATTTCAGCCAATTAAATTGCATTGCTCTCAATTATGGTGAATTTTGCCTGCTGTGTGTCATACACAAGTCATATTTAGGTTCATAATGCTAAAAAGAATTGGTGCCTTTTGATGTTGAATGTGTTCGCTTTTACTGATTTCTTTAAAAAATGAGTACCCAGAATGTCCTTTCCTGTTAGCTCATTAGCAAGTGTGACAGTCTCTATTTCAGATTTCAAAACCTGATAATCAAAACTACTTGGGAGCCACAGAACTGGGGCATTAGGTGTAAAGCAGATCTAAGCTGATATCTAGACCATCCCTCCACAACTGAAAATTGATTTGTTCAGGGGATTTTTTTTTAGAAATTCTTTTCTAGTTGAAGAGAATCAAAATAAAGAGTGATCAAACCCCACTGAAATTAATGGTCCAGTGAATTGTAACAGGTTTGATCCCAGTGCCAATGATTTTAAATGTTACAAAAGTTGGGTGCTTTGGCACAGCACTGTGGAGTATTTTGAGTGGAATCTTTGAGCATGCAGGTGGCAAAATGGACAAAATATCCTTTGTATGGATATTTGAGCGTTCCAAGGGCTCCCTCACGTTCCTGCTAAAGCAGAGTGAGCTCAGCAAGTCCTGCTGGTGAGACAATGGCCCTCAAAGCCCTCAAAGGCTGCTTCCCAAGGAGTGGCACCAGGAGAGGTGAACTCCTGTGCTCCCAGGGAGGGCTGCACAGGGGGAGTGGGAAAAGGGCTCCTCTGAAAGCAGCACTTGGAAATAGAAACCTGCACTGGGAGTTCCACATCACAATCGTGTCCCTGTCCCAGTCTGAAATTAAAAAGTCATCAGGAAAGAGAGATTCTTACCTTTAAAATTCTGTAAAGAAAGGCACTGCGCTGTAGTGGGAATGCTGCCAGACTGGTGTCAGTCATTTAAAGGAGGGGAAATGCATTTTTTTGGCTTGAGAGTGTCTGTGTGGAGTGCAAGGAAACAGATAAGCTTGGGGGGATGATATTGCTTTTGTATTCTTCCTTCAATTATTTATACACACTTGAAGGAAGGGTCCTAACACATCCCTGAATAAATGGAGCACCATCCCTTGGTAACAGATGATGTTCCTCTGAAGGGGATTTGTTAATGGCTATCTCCAAATTACAGCCCTGAATTCAGGCTCCAAGTTCCACTCGAGTTCTGTATGAAACATTTATCCCACAGGCAGGGCTCACTGTGTTCTGTCAGTTCTGCCAGACACAGAGCTGCAAACACACAGGCTGGGAAAAGAGTTCAAACACGAGCATCAGGAAGGAGAACAAGACACAGAATTAATATTTCTTTAGGCTGTTACTAATAAAAACTCAGCAAATTATATTTCCATGGAGGAAAGCAGGAAAGAACTTAAATGCACTGCACGTTTCCATGTGTGGGAATAATTTTGTGTTGTTATTAAATTCTAGTTTTGGGGTAGTTTTTCTGAAATTCATCATACCCTGTCCAATTAGAAAATGGTCACAACAGTCACTTGCTATATGAGAAGTTTGCAAAGTATTCTCCAAGGAAATTATGGTTAATTCACCATCAAAATCACCAGAAGATGCAGCCCAAGTGTTTGAGCCCTTCCCTGGTAAATGTCTGACAACCCACATTAAAAAAAATGCCACAACATTTTCAAGAATCCAAATCCATTAAATGCCTGATCCCTTTTCCCCCAGGCTTTCTTAACATATCAAAACATGTTTTCCTTGCCTATTTATATATTCAGTTGCATTGCATTCCTTAATTAAACTCCATATTTCTTACTGAACTAACCCAGCAAGCCAGTTGGTTTCAGTAAACATGATTGACTATAAATGTATAGGACATGCTCTTCAGATTTATTACTTGCAATAAATCTGTCCCATTGAGTTCAATAATTTACTGTGCTGGAACCATTTACCTTTTAAAATATAACTTAATACAGTTAATAAAGCTCACTTCACCCTTTCAAAATAAATAACAGCTTAAATTGCCTATATTTTCTTCTTTTTCCTTCAGATTCTGCTGCTTTCCTTCATTTTTCCTTACAGTTTAATGCTTTTTTTATAAGCCTTAAATAACTTTACATCTGTAATGCAGTTATGTGGACTGCCAAAACTCTTAAGTTTAGATTGTCAGAACTTGTTCTCCTACAGGCATTTGACTCCCAACATTCATAACTGCTGGACAAGTGCCTGAAAATGACAGAGCAGAGCATGGAACAGCAGGAAAGAAATAAAAGGCACTAAAAGTTTTAAAAACTCAAGGAAAACTAAAACTAAAATCAATGTATCTTTTTTTTTTTTTTTTGCCCCCGAAGCTTTGTTAGATGAAAAAATGTTTTAGAAATTGTCAAAGACCTTAAAGCAGATTTTAAAACAAACAAAACCTAGAGCAGAGATTTCAGCCTGTCGCTCGTGTTTCAGATTTTATAACTGAAACGCAACGAGGAGGGAAAGTTAATGAAAGTGCAGCTCTGCTGCTGCAGGGGGGCAGCTCTGAGGAGCAGCTGTCTCTGTGCCTGCCTCAATTTCATAAAAGTGCTTCAGCCACGGCTGAGCAAAGACAAAATGATGAAGTACCTGTGTGCGGGGTCGGTCCGGAGCGCTGCCCTTGCTCGAGTCCCCTTCAGCCACATTTACCTCAGCCTGTGGCCAGCTCAGCATCCTGGGGAGCTTTTTGTACCCCAGTCCCCCTCACATGGTCTGATTTCCAGATAATCTGCTGCCAAAGAGCTCTTTAAGAATTTTTTGCGTCACTTTAGTCGAATAAACTTTATGTTTCACCAGGGCTGCGGCTCAGTTTTCCTCCTAGAGGTGGGTGGCTACATTTGCCTGCTCTGATCTGTTCAGCAGGATCCAATGAAGGCAGAGGCAGAAGGAAGGGGAGCTTTCCTGGGAAGGGACAGCTTTGCTGGGTGTTGTTATAAATATAAATAACAGGATGGGGGTGAGGATGGACACCAAGTTTTGAGGGAGGCAGTGAATTAGAAATTTCTGTAGATTACAGGAGCATAGGAAGGGGATATTAGCACAATAAAAGGGCTTGAAAATAATAATTTCTTTTCAATAATTCTGAATAGTTGCATTATTTTAATAAAGAAATAAGGTTTAGTTTGGTTTTAAAGCTGGAAGCACAAATTCTTTACAAGTGTTTTGCTGCCTCAATAAACTCAACAAGTAATTTCCTTTCTTCCTACCACTGCTCCAAATACCTTTCTCCACTTCTAACACGTTTTTTTCTTTTCTCCAGTGTTTTTCATCCAGGATTTCTTCATCCCTGCACTCCACAGCTTGTTTATGAAAGATCATAAATCACAGGTCAATGCCATAGTTTAGGGGGCAAATTTAGGAACAAAAAAAAAAGGTGGAAAAGCAGAATAGGGGCAAGTAAGAGTAGCTGATTGCTGGAGCAGCAGCAGCTGTGCTGTAAGAGTTTTCAGAGACTTCTTCCAAACAATTGTAAAGAAAATAAAGTGGAAACTGAAGAGCTGCAATTTGCACTTTCCTGTGCTGTCCCTGGTCCCCGGGCGAGGCTCCTGCACCATCTCAAGGAGAGCTCGGGCACTGCAGCTCCACACACGAGGGACGCACTGAAATCGGCTTTGTTTCCCATTATCTTGGGGCCGTTTCGTCAAATTGAGCTTTTTCCCTTCACTTGCTGTAGAAATTCATTGATCTGTTCGTGCAGACAGCAATCCTCACCTCCTCTGCTGGGCTGGATTTCCCTGCTGTGCCCTGCTTTCCAAAAGAATCAGGATTGGTGCTCACCTCCCTTGGCTGCAGGCAGGATTCCCCCCCAGTTCGTGTCCTTGCCTGTGATATTCCTCCACGACCTTCCCTCTGCTTTGTCCTAGTCCAGGCAGATCCTGCCATGCCTCACCCACCAAACCCTCCTGGAGGCCACAGCAGTGTTTAATGTCCAAATATCCAGCGGTGGGCCAGACCCCAGGCTCTGCAGAGCAGCATTTTTGTTTCTTGGGAGGATGGGTGGCACAAGGAACCTGCACCTTTACTTACTGCTGGGAGACTGGAAGGGGTTTTCCAAACTCACTTTTTCTATCTTCTTACAAGAAATAAATTCTCTCTACTGAAAGCCCTTCTGCTCATTACATAATTATACCTTGGGTTTTAAAAAATTTTAGAGGGATCGTGACCTTTGTCTGAGGTTTTTGTCCATCTCAGTCTCTGCTTTGAGTAGGTTCTTTTATGCCTTATCCAGGCCTTTTGGTTCAGGTGTTTTTTTCATCATCTTCTGCAGCAGTTATTTGGTTTGGTTTTGTTGTGCTGGGTTTTTTCATTTTGAATTTCTTGCCAAACAGTCTGGAGCCTTTGGGACATAATGGAAATAACAGACTGGAGATTTCAGGCAAAATCCCTTAACCTTGCAACACCTTATTTATCTCATAAGTGAAAAACTTTCAGGGGCTGTAACTGAGCCAGCTCCAGAATCTCATGAAATCTGGGCATTGCTGGGTGAAATTCTGATGATTTAGGGAAAGTATGAAAAAAAGAGAAAGAAAATGGACTTTACACAAGACACAGATAAAGCAGCTGCAGATTCCAGCACAAGGATGGGAATCATCACCCAAATGACCTCATAAAAGTAGTACCAACTGTACTGTGAGATCAGCAATGGCTCTGATTCACTGCCAATAAAAGGTTGCAACAATTTTCCAAATAACACAAACCAAACAAATCCTGCAAAGAAAATGGACTTTACACAAGACACAGATAAAGCAGCTGCAGATTCCAGCACAAGGATGGGAATCATCACCCAAATGACCTCATAAAAGTAGTACCAACTGTACTGTGAGATCAGCAATGGCTCTGACTCACTGCCAATAAAAGGTTGGACAATTTTCCAAATAACACAAACCAAGCAAATCCTGAAATATTTGTTTGTTCCCATCTTTCCTTAGTTAGCAATCAGACTGCATTTAGAAGATATTACAATTGGCTTTGGGATAAAAGGAATTCTGATTGCCCTTCCCTGCTATTTTCCACACTGCTGGGATGCACATCTGGCAGTTGGATGAGTTTTGGAGAGGTTTTGTTATTTCCACTACAGCTGTTTTAAGAGCACATTCCAATGGGGAAATCTGATTCCTAGAACCCACAAACCACCACCACACATAACCTCTCCTCAGTTCCTTCATCAGGAATTGCTGTTATTTTCTGCCACTCGATTAAATCTGAGAGTTGACTTTCATAATATCATCTGTCAATATTTGCCACCTGTCAGGGGAACTGTCCTTGAATTCTCACACGAAAACTGCATGGTTTTGTTGACAAACTGGAAAAGAAAAGTATCAAGTCAGCTGGTTTGTCAGCAATCCAAGGATCAAGCTTTGCAAAGGATATATATATGTATAAACTAAGGGAGAAATCAGCATTGAAATACAGTGGGCACTAATTGTTCTTTTCCTAACCAATTGTTTTTATTCTGACCAAAGCATCTTTTTAGCAGTTGTATGTTAACTTTTTCAAAGTCTGGATTTACAGTTCACAGAGCTTTCTTTGCTGGGTGACAACAAAGCAGCAAGCCAGGCTTATTCCCACATTACCTCCATTCCATCCCTTGGAAAGTTTAATTTTTTATCATCTCTGAACCATCTGCTGTGAACTGACAGGGGTTAAGTGGCTTGTTCCTCCAGCACACCCTCAGGAGAATGAACAATTCCTCGGGAAAAATCCCTGGCTGTGAAGTCTCTCCCACACACCTGGGAGAGTGAGGCTGTGCTTGGATCCAGCTGTGCCTCGTGCTGTGCAGGACCCTGGGAATTCCTCAGGCTCAGGAGGGAGCACAGGCAGCTCCATCATCACTCAGCTGTCTCCAGCTTATCTCAGGGCTGCTGATCTCACCAGAGAGCCAGGGCAAAAGGGCAGTGACCCTGTGAGTCTCATCAGCAGGGAATCAGTTCATGGGGAATCATTTCACCCACAGATTTTACCCACATTTCAAACCACAGGTTAAAAGCAGCCACCTGTGAGGTGTCTATGGATAAAAGCAGCCTGCAGGCACCAATCCTTACCAATGTTTCCATGGCTGTCCTCCCAGGCAAAGGAATATCCTTGACTTGTTGGCACAAGCACAAACCTCAAAATACCTTGTGCAACTGCCCCCAGAGGAAAAACCACAGCTCTCACCTTGGCATCTGCATTTCCCCCTCCCCTTCCCAATTCCACCATGGAAAGAACTTAGAAAATTGCAGGGCATGAAGGCAGCAGTGCTGCTGCCAGATTGGCTTCGTTCCCCATAACGTGTTTCAGCCATGTGGATTTTCTGTGCTTGTTTGAAGGAAAGGAAAAAAACCCACAGTACTATTGTATAAAGTGTACAGGGAAATATCTGGGCAAGAACTGGGGAGATAAGCACAGGCTGGACAATACTTTAAAATACTGAAACCAACAAAAACTGGCTTGGAATCAGTTTTGAGTTTACCAGCCTCAATCCTCATCAGTGCTACCACCAGCAACAAAAATGTCAGTTAAACTCTGGAGAAAAAGTTAATTCTCCTTGGTTGATATCATACTCATAGATGGCAGAGAGGAAACAGAAGAACTGGTGTTAAAGTCATAAGTAGAAAGAACTCGAAGGACTAAAATTGCTGACCTTTTGGGGGAGGAAAAAGCCCCCAAAACAACCCATGCATTAGTCATAATGAAAATATTGTGCATAGCACAGCTTTGCAAGAGATCTGGCTCTGTGTCAGAGCCACCAGGGAGTACAAGAACTCTTTGCTTGCCTTCACTCAAGTGACAGCACAAAGTGGAGACTGCATGAGATCCCAAACGGGTCCCTGGAGGATCATCTGCTCCATCCCCCTGCCCAAAGGAGGATCAGCTCCACCAGTGCCATTTCTGACATTTCTGTACCCATTTCTGCACCAGGTCTGTGATGGAGGCACCACACCCTCACTGCAGCTCACCAGCATCTTCCCATTCCATCAGCTCCAAGCACCTCTTTAAAAAAAGAAACCAGAACTGTCCCAGTCACTTTACAAAGTGTTTATTCAAAAGCTTCATAGCACCATCTTGTTTTTTAAAACAACCAAATAAAATGCAGCAATTAAAACGTTGGTTTTTCTGTTGAGCATGACACTAACTCCACCTGTGAACATATTTATGGTTGTTCTTGCTAAAATAACTGAAAAATAGCGCTCCTGTGCACACAGACATAGCACTGGCCCCTGGGGGGGCTATCCAGCCCCAGCTCAATAATGGAAGAATAAAACCAAGTGGAACTGGATACCTCAAGGAAACCATTCCCCTTCCCCAATTCTGCTGGAAGAGAAAATTTTCTAAAGGTCATTTTTAGCAGTTTCAATTCATACATCCCCTCCAAAACTTGAGCAAAACCAAAACTGTAAATATATAAATTTTTTTGGGGGAAGTTCTTTTATAGAACAAGCCAGACCATAATTGGTTAATTATCTCAGTATGTTTGCTCTAACAATCACCTAACTGTTAATTCTAAAGGGCCTTCAATGCCCATTTTTTCTAGGGAAAACATCAGTCAAGATAATTTTACTACATTACTACGCTGATTCGCATTAAAAATTTAAGGTAAAATCAAACTGCCATTGACAGCACTTATCATCTGCTTTCATTTTGAGGTTTTTTTCCTTTTCCCTTTTGAGTTTTGGAGCAGCCTGTCTGAGAGCTGGCACCAGTGAAGCGCTATTTCCCAAGGATCCTTAACTTACATTTCAGGAATAGGGACCAGGCCGAGGGCTCGGTCTCGTTTGGCTATGGCTTCCAACTGCTGGAATTCTCTATTGCAGCTACTTCTGATGGCCACGGGGAGGCAAATGCTCCGTGCTTCACTTGGCCAAAGCCCCCATGGGGTCCC